CTAAATCAGCTTCAGTGTTCCTTTTGCTGCTTGATGAAGTAATTGATTTCCTCTTGGGCCTTTTCACACAGAAAGAGGAAAAAAAAACCTCAAAATAGAGGAAGACGTGTTCAGAAATTACAAGGAAATGTGTGTGTGAAGATACTTACGTGGTGTGTGTATGTGAAGTATTTCTTCTTTGGCTAGACTTCTGTACTTGGCTAAGACCTTAAGCAAAAAGTGATACTGGAGCCAGAACAATGGAAAAGACATTTTTATTGGTCTGACAAATGAGACTATCAATCAATTTGCTGGTGAGCTTTCTAATAAAGCTCGATAGTTTGTTTGCTTGTTACCATCATGATCCTTAATGTAATTGAGGGGACAGTTACCAGTTTTTTGGGACCACAAAATAATTAGCCTTGTGACCACAGAACAAACAGCTTTGTGACATCTACTGTGTCTTCCAGGTTTGTAATTCAGCAGCATCACATCCCCATGATGTAGACAGAGAAACAGAGGCTGGGGGCTTTAGAATGATTAAAGCAACTATCTGCTCCCCTGGAAGTCAGGGAATGGACCTCACTTCACAGAATGGCCTGGACTGGAAAAGCCCTAAGCTCATGGAGTCCAACCATGAACCCAACACTGACCAGTCCCCTATGACTAACCCATGTCCCTCAGCACTGTGTCTACACGACTCTTCAATCCCTCCAGGGATGGGGACTCCACCACTGCCCTGGGCAACCCCTTCCAATGCCTCAGAACCCTTTCAGCAAAGAAATTCTTCCTCACATCCCATCTCAACTGCCCTGGCCACAACTGGAGCCCATTTTTTTTTTTAACCTGTTTTTTTTTAAAACTGATCTTAACCTGTATCCTCTCGTTACCTTATTTACCCCAGAAATTCTTGTACTTGCATTTCTAAGGGACAAACAACTGCATCCAAGGCAGAAGTGAGTGAGAGGTGACAGCTGAGAACTTCCTGGGCTTGGCCTTCAGTGTCAAAATTAGTGTCTCCAATTTATGCCATGTATGTGGCACAGATGTGAACAGTCTGGAGATCTTCTTGCCTCTCCCTCTGTGCTACAGTGCTCAGCAAACACATTGAGATGCAGAGACTTATTTTTTCAGGCTCTTGGGAAATTTACTGAATTCATCTACTCTCTTTGTGCATTATTTTTCAGTGCTGTGAAATCAAATATTGTAGCTCCTGAATATTACTTTATAACCTTTTGCTGTATGGAAAAAGCAACAATAAATGTGATTCTGTTTCGTTGTATGATGAAACCTCCCTAAGCTAATCCAGAACATGTTGCTTCTATAAAAGGCGATGCTGCTTATCGTTTTCTGTACAGGGAGATTAAAAGTAGTTGATCTCCACGTTGTACAAGCTGAGGAAGTGACAGCTGATACAGATAAATATGGATTAGTTCATTAGTTTTGTATTTGCTTTCCTCTAAGGTGGCTTCAGAATCTTATCTGTGAGGCCCAGGCTGGGAAGTGGAGAGAAGATGATGAGAATGAAATCTGGCTTGTCTTGTTAATAAATTAGATTTTGAAAACTCTGGAAGGCAAGGGAACCTGTCTGAAATACTACATCTGTGTGTATCTTTTGGAGAGGCTATTATTAAATCACCTGTAGTTCCAAGGGTAATACATATCCTTTAATAGATGTGTTCTGTTTTCTATTCATTATAATGGGATTGTAGAAATAATAGCAAGTTTAGAGCTGGAATGTGAAGAATATGTGCCCAGTGAACAGCAAATGCCTCAATTTGCCCAGTTCTGAAGCAGCTCAGGAGGTAACGTGTCACTGGTATTCACAGCTCTGCCTTTTCTGAAGGGCAGCAAAATAACCAATGCTGGGAAGATGGTCTCTAACAAAAGTACCTTTTATTAAATTCAGGAAGGCTGCTTTATTGTTGGTCACTTGTTTCTGCTGTAGATATAATCCGTACTATCCGGGACCCAGAGAAGCCTAATACCTTAGAAGAACTGGAAGTGGTAACGGAAAGCTGTGTTGAAGTGCAGGAGATGGGTGAAGATGAATATCTGGTTATCATCAGGTTTACACCGACAGTACCTCATTGCTCTTTGGCTACTCTCATCGGTAAGATTTTTGAATATTACTTTAAAACCTTTTGCTGTCTGGAAAAAGCAACAGTAAGTGTAATTCTGTGTCTGTATTGCATCCGTAACAACGAGTTTGTCTGTATTTAGTGTTTCTAGGAAGTGTTTAGAGACCAGAGACCTCCTAAGCTTGTAAGGCAGGTATGAGCTTAGCTGAGAAGCGACGTCCAGAGAGTCAAACCACAAGTTAGTTATCCTCCTCTGTGGCTTGTGCTGCTCAGAATACAAAAGGAGAAGGTTGTCAATTACACTGATGTTTTTTGATTGTTAAATCTGGATTCTCTGAAGATGCACCTCACACCTTGAGTTTTACAATAAAATCTCTTATCTGTTTTGTTTAAACAGGCCTTTGCTTAAGAATAAAACTTCAGAGATGTTTGCCTTTTAAACATAAGGTAAAGTATCAGCTCTGGAACTTGCTTTAAACTGTATGAATGTATACTGAGCTCTCTTGTTTTTTTTTAAAGAGTGTTTGCTGCAGGATCAAGTAACTTGCAAGATGTGATTGAGGATGGGCTCTTTTAAAAGCTTGTCATTTGACTATGGAGGGAGTGTATATTGCAGTACAGTGCAGCTCCTGGGGGCATCTCTATGCAACTGTGGTTCTTCCTTTCCTTTACAAAAACCATTTATTGCTGCCCTTCTGAAGGTCTTACATAGACCTTCAGAAACTTGCCTGAAATAATGTAAAGTATAAATGAATTAGCTGAGGATTTCTGCTGTTGATTTTTCGTTGTTGTTGTTTTACTTTTATGGTTGCTAGTTTCATCTTCCCAGTTAAACAGTGTAAAGTGAGACTTGCATTTCTAGAAAATTAGGTAGACAGTGATTTGTTATGCTGGACACAAAGTAGCTTCAGCGAGATCAGATAAATGACACAGGATTTGTTTCCTTGGTTTTCCTTTGGTACATCAGTTTTATGAGCTCTTGCAGTTCAGCGTGTATGAGAGTTTTTTTGGTTGTTGTTTTCCCCAGGCCTGTTAAATGCATGAAGGTGATTTAGGTCTGTTTAGATTCTACTCTTATAATTTGTTCCCACGCAGGGAACAGGTTCTGCATTACACTACCATTTTCAAATAGAATATCTGATTCTCATCATTGATCAAAACTTCTTAGGAATATCTTATTAGGAATCCCTCCCTATAGATGTCTTTTCAAGAATGCTGGGCTTGTGGAAGTGACACTTGCCATTTGGGTGGCTTTTGAACAAATTGTTCCTCAATTGTGGCCTGCAGAGAACTTGTTGGGAAAGTAGTGCCAATTCTCCACTGTTTCCAGTAGCCTAACTGCAATTAGTTTTTCACAAGAGCAGTTGATATCGGTGAGGAATGAATGCCTCCACAATTTTGAAGAAAGATTATTGGGGCCTCTCTGAAATGAGGGAGGAGATTGTCTTGTGGTTCTACTGCAGTGAAGTCTAAGATCAGCCCTTGGCATTGATCCCCTTTCACTGTCTGTGAATATTTTTTAAAGTATGAACTACATGCATTGTACATGTTTTGTACAGGTTTTTTTCTTCCTAGAACATATTTGTAACCATTAATGTATACATCTAACATTAATGATCTCTCCTCTAGCTGGAAATCTACATATCTGAAGGTACACATTCCACTGAAGAAGACAGTGAGTAGAGCTTATGAATGCGTGCTGCTTTAGCCCGTGTGCTTGTCTTCCTTTGAGAAGTTCTTTTCTTCCCCTCCCCTCCCTCCCATCCTTTTCAGAAAGGAATTGTACTGTTAAAGCTTGAAAATCAAACACGTAGCTGAGGCTGTTTCAAAAGCTGCACTGGTGCTGTGAACATGTGCTGCTTGTTGTGGGTTTGGTTTTTTTAAACAAACAAAACACCCCCACGGTTCTTGCAGGTGTTGAGTTGTGTTTATAACAAAAGAAGTTGCTATTGTGCTGCTGAATAATTAACAAGAAGAACTTCCTGACTGGTTGATCTTAACATCATAACAAAAATACATGTTTCTGCATATAAAATAAAACTTACATATAAACTTATAAAATGTAACTTATGTATAAAATAAAACTTACAGGACATGGAAATTCTTTCAGAACTATAGCCAATCACTGTCTTAAATAGCTGGTAAAGCCTGTGTGTAGGTGATGCCCCAGGGTTTTTGTTCTTAAGCAATAGTCATCTTTGTATGGGGAAAATCAGTTCTGTTGATTAAATGAGTAGAAATTGAACCTGGAGAACTTGGACTACTAATTTGTCATGAATTTCACTCTTGATTTTAAGACATGTCATTAGAGCATCTGACATTCTTTTCCTAAACTAGAAAAGTAACAAAAATGTTTGGTTTTGATAGTTGTTTTTTTGTGAGTGGACTTTCATTTTCTTCATTTTCAATTTCCTATGAATCCTCTGTCCTCTGACTACTGCCTCTTAAGCACCCTCGTGTTCTTCCTGTCTTGTCAACCATCTATTATGACTGGCACAAACATTTTTTCTCTAGGCCATGCAACTTTAGTGCCTGCCTGTACAGGGCTTTATTGCACAAATTCCAGTTTTGGGTATTATGCAGATAACATCTCCCACCTAAGGAGTGAGTTGAGCAGGAGGCTGACACACTGTGCTGTTACTGTACAGCGGCGTTTCTCAGTCTCTGAGCTGCCCTTTGGAAAAGCTTCACTGCAGTAGGGTGTCTTGTGTTTGTCGTGTTACCGATGCAGCATGTGGAAAGTACCACTGAAAACTGCTTCTCACTTGACTTTTCATCTGATATTTTGCAGTCAACAAGCAAATCAACGACAAAGAGAGAGTAGCAGCTGCGATGGAGAATCCAAACTTGAGAGAGATTGTGGAGCAGTGTGTTACAGAGCCTGACTAGTAGCTATAATACCCACAGAGTTATCATTTTGATACATTTCTTAAAATATCTTTGTTTAAAAAAAAAAAAGGAAAATAATAATAAAGGCCTTGAGTTTAATACTTGAGTTCTTTTTATCTTCCATATGTTTTTTTAAAAGAAATTGTTTATAAGATAGATTTAAATTATGATGAATTAATCTCTAAAATATAAAGTGAAGTGTATAGTGTTAAGAGTTTGTAATTTCTGGTGTCCAGAGAAATATTTTATGATTAAAACCAGAAGAACACATATGTATTGCCTTCTGATAGACATTGTGATATAAATTCAGTTTTGCAAGTTCAATTTCTACATTGTTTCAATCACTGCACTGTAAAAATTAAACAGATTCTTGTACTGAAATGCTGCTTCTGAGTTCAGAGATTCTCTTTTGTTTTTCTCTTTAAGCTTAGGTTTAGATTTCTGTTAGAGAAGGAAACATCTCATTCAACTTCTTCATTGTTGAAAAACACATTAAAGCTGAAATGGATTCAGAATAAGAGTTTGGATCCAAGGGACTGGACTAGAACTAGACCTTTATTGGGACACTATTCCTGGTTAATATTTGCCCTTTTTCCCCCCCCCTGTTAGTACATGTTCCTGATCCTGGAGGTTTTGCTTTATAATTACCCTGAGTGTAAAGTTTTCCTATGGACAAAATCTTGCCAGTCTGATCTTTTTCTTACAACTTACCTGCAGCGTGGAAGGTGAGAGAATCCACAGCCCCTCATCCCCCTGGTTCTCACTGTCCCCTTTCTGTTTGTCACTCCCTCACTCATCTTCTCTGAGGTGTGTGTAACGTTGCCAGCTGGCACATGTTTTCTCACTGGAGCATTTCCCTGGGGTTAGTTTCCACTGCAGCTGTGGATTTGACCGTGGATTTACCTTTCCCTGAAGAATTAGGCAGATATTTCTCGCTCAGGCTCAGCTGTCCTTCTGTCAGGGGAAGTGATGCTCAGCATTTGTCATACAGCCACCGGAGGGCCTCAGTGGTAGATGGATGTGCAGGGGAAGAGAGGCAGCTGCCACCCATCTCATGCCCCATGGCACCTGGGTATCCATGGTAGTTATCCCCTGCAGTGGTTCATGAGAGATTTAGGGAGCCGTTCCTCTGTGAAACAGTGATGACTCTCGTGGACTTCCGTGTGGTTAAACGGTGAGAAATCCTCGGAGTTCAGTGCAAACATCTGTTGAGATTTCAGGGATTTGTAACTATTTTCATAATAAGCCACATAAAGCTTTTCCTGAAGGCATGAGATGGTGGAATGGGCTCCAGCTAGGCTATGCCTTATAAAGTGGGGGACATATTTCCCTTTGTAAATCAGTGTCCTGACAGGTCACAGCTGTGCCAGGAGCTCCTGATCTCCCTGCTTCAGTGCCAAAATTAGCAAAAAAGAAAAAAATAAGGAGTTGGGTGGAAACAATCCCCTTTTTCCATAGGTTACTGCACATCTGCAGAACTGTCAGTTCTAGCGTTATGTGTGGAAAATTACCTCCTTAACTTCAGTTGCTCGGCTTCAATTTAATTCTACTTAAATTTCAAAAGCCTTTGTGCCCTCATTGCTCACCCGAAATTTAGCTTGAGGGAAGAAAGTGTGTCCTTAAGCAGCACTTTGTACAGGTGCTTCTGTAAAGTGTAATTAGATGTAAGCTTAAATGTGGGACACTGCTACCTCGGGTGTTCAGCAGAGTGTGAAGGGAATTATTAGCTACTTGGTGTTTGCAGGGGAAGCTAAAAACTTGCTAGTTTCCAAAATAAATAAAGAATCTATGAACCAGTTGGTTTTTTTTTAATCCTACTTTGGGTGAAACCTAAAATCTGTGTATTTAGACTCCTGC